TTAAATTCAGCCTTCCCGTACCCGCGAGTAACTTGTACGGCCCCGTGAAAGTTTTTTACGGGTAAAATAATATCTCAGGAACCACGGAGTCTAGGAGGCTGAAATTTTGGGTAATGACCCCCTACCCACGCTCAACCTTGCCCATTCAAATTCAGCTTTCCCGTACCTGAAGGTAACAAGTGCGGCCCCGTGAAATTTTTTTACGGGTAAATTAATATTTCAGGAACAACTCACGGAAAGATATTCACCCTTCAGGGTTTCGAATTCAGCTTTCATGCGCTGGTGCGTGAAATTTTCAACTGTTTTCCAATCGTTGAACTATTTTTGCATAGACAAAAGTACAAAGCAGTGAAAACCATTAATAAGCAATCATTCGATGGGCTGAATTGCACAAAATGCGTAATCGCACCGACTAGTCTGGCGCGCGTTGCTATTTATTTTCCTTTCTAAACCGCCCATACCTTGGTCCGACTGTTATGCTGCAGCTTGTATCTCATGTACCTGTCGGGAATTTCCAGTAATGATCAGTTCGCCTGTTCATGATTTCCTCAGTGATGAAAAATTATTTATTAAGATCTTAGTGGATGACATTTTATCAGTCCAAAAATAATTTTGGTGGAATAGAAGACAAACCGTGTAACTCCACCGAGAACAGCAGCAGCACCGACCATTGCATAAAGTCCAGGCATTACGCAATCCTTACCAACTTGACAAGCCCAAATGTTACTATGCGCTTCAGCACTCTTCTGAAATACAAGCCTAACAACAATTAGCAATCCTGGCCATTTTAGGCAGCCGTGCTACTGCCTCGAAGTACAGACCTTGCACAGAAATACAAATATTCTCCACTGCAAGGCATACACACAAAGTTCCTGTGGGAACTCTTCAGTTTCTTCACTTTTTCAAATTCACTTCTGTTTGTGCATCTTAAACTAATGCAGTAACATAAATCATAAAGAAATTTTTTGCTTTTTAAGCTTTTTACCACCGAAAATACGCCAGTCACATCGTACAAGCACTGTATAGAAAATCAGGGTGCACCAAATTTATGACAAAATGGCCAGAATACTGGCCAGGGAAAAAAGGGAGTACTGAATCCAAATGACTCATTTTTTTCGAGAAAAGACAAACTATCTGAAAGCAAATTCCGCGAAAATAATTTGGAATATAACTTAAAACAAATAGGGCGCCTTTCCTTCACATATGACGTCTGATGCTTCCCACTACTCGCATCTAATATTTATCTGTGCTTACAGCTAAGGGATGAAACACAAACCACAGACTAACCTGATCCTTTTTCTACATGTAATTTCTCAAATAGTTTATATTTCTTTAACAAATTTACCACTGTAAACAATGAGAGAAACGAGCAAAAGGGCGACCCAAAAGCGAAGGCCATTTCTACCAGTCTTTCATATCTACTTGAAAACTAATGAAATGAACTTATAGACATAGAAGGGACAATGTAAACTTTCTAGTAATAAATTAGTAAAAAAAGCCAGCACCGAGCGATGCAATAAATCACCTGCAGCGAGGCAGCAATTCCCTCGACGGTGATTCCAAGCAAGCGACCAGCAATAGCACCCATGGCAAGACTTGGAACGAAAAGACCGGCCGGAACTTTGATACCAAACGTGAATATTGTTAATATAAGTTTGACTATCAGTGCAAGGATTAGCTGGATAAACGCGCTCTAAATGAGAATACTTCAGAAAAGGCGTTCAAACAATACCACACAATAACTAATATCTAATTGTATATTGACTAGGCTGTTCACTAAGCTGTCCCATATTTGCAAACTGTTCACAAAGATTTTCGATTACCTGCAAAAGTGTCTCCCTGACGAGCAACATCAGAAAAAGAGCAAAATGACAAATTAACAGAATTTTTTGACTTTAACCATCAAAAAGGAAGGTTTTTTCGTCTTTCCGCCTTTACAAAGCGCATGTCAGCTCTCTGCATCGAGCTGCGAAAGTAAAAATGGACTATTTAACCAATAAGACATGTCAACTACGATGCATTCAAAACAATCACGAACATGGTGAGACTAAAAGGCCTTTTTAAAAGCCAAGTTCTTCATGGTTTATGCTAAAAAAATGGCCAACGCACGGGCTGCCCGTGCGAAGATGCGTTTTTTGCAGAGTTCCCCGCAGGT